CACAATGGAATATTATTCAGCAATAAAAGAGAATAAAATCGTGGCATTTTCAGGTAAATGTGTGGAGTTAAGAGAAGATAATGCTAAGTGAAGTTAGCCAAGTCCAAAAAACCAAATGCCAAATGTTTTCTTTGATATAAGGAGGCTGATTCATAGTGGAATAGGGAGCGGGAGCATGGGAGGAATAGACAAACTCTAGATAGAGCAGAGAGTTTGGAGCGGGAGGGAGGGGGCATGGTATAATTAATGATGCTAGAATGTGATGATCATTACTATCCRAAATACATGTATGAAGACACGAATTGGTGTGAATATACTATGTATACAATCAAAGATATAAAAAAATTGTGCTCTAAATATGTAATAAGAATTGTAATGCATTCTGCTATCATATATAAATAAAAATAATTTACATAATAATGAAAAAGTCTTAAACCTTAGGCTTTAAGTCCAACAGACGCACACTCACTCAGATCACAGTGAACAGGTCCAGAACCAAGGCAGGTTTTTCCTGGCGTGGAGTGGACAACTGGTTGAGGAGAGGGTCGTAGGGAGAAGTTGCAGCTCTCATCAAGATCCAGACGAGGTGGTAGAGTTTGAGAGCAATGAGGATCCTGCAGAGGATGAGAATAATGACAACTGATGGGATGTCAGTCCAGGTCCTCATCAGGCTCTCCAGCTCAAGTGCATCCTTGTTTCGGCTGGCTGAATCTCTGTTCATCAGCTCTACTATTTATAGTGAATTTTGGGGCTTTTGACCCCCCTTTCAGTCCTTATCAGCTACCATSGRATTTCTTCATGATATCATTTATCCTCGGGTCAGAAACATCTGGTCTGGTGGTCTCCACCCTGATCTTTTTGCCTTTCTCTTCTTATCAGGGGAGGACAGCCTGCCAGAGGCTTCACTCTGTTTATCAGGGTGAGGGAAAGTAACTTGTTTGAAGCCATACTGGAGGGATATGTTGAATGTGCCTGGTGAGACTGCAGGTTTCAAAATAGAGTTTTAAAAATGGAGTTGCTTAGGCTCAGGCCTAAGGTCATCCTCACATAATCATACATCTAACTATTCATGCTTCCTTCCTTCCACCTATCCATCCATCCCTCCATCTACCTCTTTATCTGCACATCTGTCTATTTGTCCACCTAGTCGGCCAAAACAAAAACCCAACGAATCAACATTAAGGGAAATCTCCAAGGGGTTAAATTCTACACTGGCTCTGGGCATCTAAAATAAGATCCACCCCTGTTCTCACTTAAGATAGTTCATAGGCTAGGAGAAGTGCTTATACCAGAGAAGTTTTGACATGTGCAGGACTTTGATGTTTCTCATGGCCCTTGGTTCAGTGTGGTTTGTGTCCTTATGATGMGATCAGGGTGGGGCCCTTGGTTCAGCTTGGCTTGTTCCCTTATAAGGAGATGAGGGCAGGGCCCTTGGTTGGGGGTGGTGTTTTGTCCTTATAAGGGGAGAAAGGGTGGGCCCT